CACAGTTGTCGTCTCGACTGGTCTTGAAATAAAATGCCGAGTTCTCAGCACCCGAGACCAAGACAAGACCAAGACCAAATGCAGTCGAGTCCCAGACGAGACAGAGACCATCAATAAATGGCCTCGAGACCAAGACCGATCTCGAGTACTACAACATTACCATGAACCCTGATCAACAACCTGAGAGACAAGAGAGAATCTATCTGGGTTTACAGAACTCTGCTGAGGATCCATAATAAACACAAACTCCAGCCAGTATCGGTTCAGTGAATCTGGTCTGGACTCTGTGGAGGAGAGTCATGGTTTCAGAGACGCTGTAGAAGGACAGAATACCTGCTGTGTGATCCAGGTACACTCCGACTCTGGAGGAAACTGGACCCAAGATGGAGGTCCAGATGGTGTTGTGTCTAAACCCTGAACTGATTTGAGAACAATCTAATGACCAAGATTTGTCATTATATCCAAAACCACATTCATACCCACCTCCTGCTCTGCTGATACTCTTGTATGCGACTGATATATTAACTGTGCCTCTTCTCTCCACTTCCCAGTAACAACGTCCAGTCAGACTCTCTCTACTCAGAACCTGAAACCATCCAGTGAATCTGTCTGGATGACTAGAATAAAACTGATCCTGATTCATCCTTGTCACCTTCCTGTTTCCCTCTGATAGTACCAGCCATGTGAATGCTGTGTTTGGATCCAGAGTGATTTCACATGAATATCTTAAGAATCCAGCTCTGCTCTTTGGTTCTGGTTCTGACAGTAGAACATCCACCTCAGTGACCATCAGTGAGATGTTTGTCCATGAGTCTCTCAGGACGTCCTGTAGTTTGTCTCTGAGCTCTGACACAGCTGCTGTCACGTCCTCAAAGTGTCTCAGAGGACGGATGTTGATGCTGGATGAGTGTGTCGACTCACTGAGTGCTGGCAGTGAGGGGTAGTTGAGGAGAAACTGGTTGTGATCCTCTGTGTGTGAGAGCTGCTCCAGCTCAGCGTCTTTCCTCTTCAGCTCAGTGATCTCCTGCTCCAGCTTCTCCTGAACATCTTTGACTCGACTCACTTCAGTTTCCTGCTGGGATCTGATCTGCTGCTTCACCTCAGAGCTTCTTTTCTGGAGGAGACGGATCAGCTGGGTGAAGATCTTCTCACTGTCCTCCACTGTTTTATCAGCAGAGCGATTGATGGCCTCCACCTCCTGCTGAAGCAGCTTCACATCTTTCTCCTGGTCCTGGATTCTCTGCTGGATGTTTCCTCGTCTCTCCTCCAGCTCTCTCTGCCTCTCAGTCCTTTCTGCTGCAGCTGACACTGTTTCATGGCCTTTATGTTCATCCACAGAGCAGAGATAACAGATACACTTCTGATCAGTGCGGCAGAAGACCTCCAACAACCTATCATGCTTAGAGCAGATGTTCTCCTGGAGGTTCTTGGACGGCTCCACCAGCTTGTGTTTCTTAAATGCAGCTGAATCATAATGAGGCTGAAGGTGTTTCTCACAGAAAGAGGCCAGACAGACTAAACAGGACTTGATGGCTTTCAGTTTTCTTCCAGTGCAGGAATCACAGGCCACATCTTCAGGTCCAGCATAACAGTGGTCAGCAGGAGCAGCTTGGAGTCCAGTCTTCTTCAGCTGCTCCACTAAAGCTGCTAGCATGGTGTTTTTCTTCAAAACAGGCCTTGGTATGAATGTCTCTCTGCACTGAGGGCAGCTGTGGATTCGTTTCTGATCCTCTTCATCCCAGTGACCTTTAATGCAGGTCATACAGTAGCTGTGTCCACAGGGAGTCGTCACCGGATCCTTCAGTAGATCCAGACAGATGGAACAGGAGAAAGTCTCTCGATCCAGCTGAACTGCCTGCTGCTCCATTTCTGCTCTCAGTCACAGTGACTGTCTGAGTTTCTCTTCCTCGAAACAGAAACAGGTTTTTCCTGATTTATGACTCATGTTTCAGTGCAGAGAGGCTGCAGCCAATCAGGTTTTACCTACAGCTTATCTTGGTTACACCCAGCCTACTAGTTCAGATCACAATAATAATCCTTCCAAGGTTACACCCAAAGTTTTATCAGATCATGAGGTTTATCTTAGGTAAAAAAGACAATAATGGATACAAATGGGCAGGGGTACATTATAGGGTGCAAAAAGTGATGACAATTCTATAGCTCCCTGACCAACCGGGGTCCCTCCACAATTTATTTATGTATGTATTTATTTATTTTTGTTCATAGAAATTAAAAAAAGATTGGGGCCCTGTCATTCACAAAATTAATCATGTTGCCTTTAAAGGCGGCTTGGAAAAACAGGTTACGACGTGTTAGCAATGGACTAAACAGTTTTAACTGCTGAAAACAGTGACAGAGGACACAGATATGTGAAGTGTGGAAGCCCCTATTGTATTAAACTGTTATTGGAATAACAGAGTTGGTTACCTTAAGGTAAAAACAACAAACAGATTCCAGTCCAGGGGGGAACTGCTGACTCACCACTTTTTGTTGATCGGTCACATAAACTGAATCCTAACAGACTAAATTTTGGTTTCACTTTATCATCCCGAGTGTTTTGACTATATTTACATCCTTATTCAGTTTATAAAACACAATTTTCTGTTTATTTTTTGTAATTTTTGTCTTCTAAATTGCTGAATATATGTTTATTGTGATCTGTAAAGTGATTTATTCTGCTGATTACGTTGCAGCAGCAGCGGTAGCTTCTTGGGTTCAGTGCAGCCTTGTTGGGAATTATCCCCCTGGGGGTTTATGAGGTTCCTGATTAAATGGTTTAGTCATTGTAATCAACAGCTTGTTACTTACCTTCACTTAGATATATTAGATCAGATGCTTGATGCTTTTATTCCTCATGTCTTCTTGCAACAAGAATAAACCCTTATATCTTTTTTTCACCCTTTAAACCATAAATTTATCAACATATGCTTCCTGCTCAGTCTACCAAAATCATTCAGAATCACTGCTGAGCCTTTGAACACCAATCGTTTGAAATCGTTATCTTCTACAGGGATTACAATCGTATTCCTCAAATCCCTGACCATGTATCTCCCCTGCACGCCTCTGTGCCGACTCAACAGAGGCGTGACAGCAAGTCAGGCTGCAAATCTGCCAGCTACGGCACAAAATTACAGCAAAATGTTGTGGGAAGATTGTGGAAGAATTCCCACAAACGCCTGATCCAGGTCAAACTGTTTAAAGGCAGTTTTACAAAATACCAAGACATTTACACAAGAGGATTAGAGCCGTTTAAAAAGAAGAAAACAATCTCAGAATTCTGGGTTTTGTTCTCGGAATTAAAGTCCGAATTCTGAACAAGGTCATAATTCTGAAGTTAGTCATAATTCTGAGAAAACCCCCCTCAAAATTCTGCAATTAAGCTCTGAAGTGTGAGAAAAAACAACAACAAACTTTTAACTCTGAAATTAAAATCCAAATTTTGACTCTGAATTCTCAGATTAATATCTCAGAATTCTAATTTTGAGAATACAGTCAGACTTCCGAGATTAAAGTCAGAATCCTGAAATTAAAGTCCAAAGTCTGGGAGAAAAAGGTCAGAATTCTGAGAAAAAACTCCAAACTCTGAGATTAAACTCCAAATTCTGAGAAAAATCCCAAACTCTAAAATTAAAGTCAGAATTCTGAGAGAAAAAATTCAGAATTATGACAAAACCCTCAGAATTCTGAGATTAAAATCTAAATTCTTAGAACAAAGTTCAGACTCTGAGAAGTAAACTGAGATTAAAGCCAGAATTCTAAGAAAAATTACAGAATTCTGAGAAAAGTCATAATTCTGAGATTGAAAACAGAATTCTGTTTTTGTAGGCGTCTTCCAAAGAAACTGAATTTCAACATGCTAATAAAACATTCTAGAAGTATTTTTATTCTTCTTTATTCTACAATTTGACTAACAGACATAACTTTGCTCATCCTAACCTTCCTTCAACATGAACGGTTTAGTCAAAGTCAAACCGTGAGAGGAAAAAATCTTTGTAAGTATCTGCTTCCAGCTGTGTTGTGTTTAACTGAGTGGATGAACAAGAAACCCATTTAAAGCAGTTTGTAGAGCCCAGATGAGGTTGTACAGGTGATGTATAAGTGTGGCCCATTAACCGTTTAACTCCATAGTGGCGGCTCTTAATGGGATTAAATTACATACCTTCTCCACTAAATAATTATATTCCTGCTCCACTAAACAAGAACTTCACTCAGCAGTGCAGCTGAGTCAAGAAGGCTTCATTTGCAGGCAGCTTTATGACACTCTTAGCTTTATTCCTGAGTGAATCATTTCATGTACGGCTTTATTTCACAGACATTATGACTTATTTTTGGTGTATTGCTGTAGCATTGTACATATAAATTAATTACTTTGTGTTTCTGGTCGCCTGTTCAGCAAAGGATTAACACCCTGTGTTACCTTTACTGTAACACATCCCTGTTGAATTCTGGCTTCTTAAGGTTGTTTGTAGCTGAAAACACACAGTTTTTGGGTTGCTTTCTTCATTATTCCACATAATTTAATACATAAAACATCTCTGGACATGCATAGGTGGGGAAGGTAACACGAGTCGCATTGACGTCAGAACGCAGGTCACTCCGCCATGACAGACGCCAAAACAGCATATGGTAAAAAAAAAAAATTCACTTTCAAAACATCTTTTATAGTTAAAAATCTTTATTTTTAGTAAAAAAAAAAAATCAGTTTAATTTATTTTCTTTTGACCAAACTTTATGGCCCCAATTTAGTTTCTGACATCTTTTCCCAAGTTCAATGCTGTAATGTCTTCACCAGCTTTCAGAGGTGGTAGTAGCTAGTTACATTTACTTGAGTACCTTTTTAAATTTATTTTTAGAATAATTTTTTTGTACGGTGCGCTTTTTACTTTGAGTAATTTTATTATAAAGCATCTCAGCTTATAGGTTTTCTCCAGACTGTATGATAAACATGTTTTAACCAATAATTCACCAGACACAGACTCACACCTGCAGTTTTTTTTCTTTATTTCATATGTTTTTTTTTTATTGAAAGAAACTGATTTGAAAATATTTTCTTTTGCCTGATTTTATTTTATTTTTTTATTATTGTCATTTTGGTCCTTAAAATACCAAAATTTCCACTCAACTTCATATTTTGGTCCATCTGATTATGTAATTTTTAAATAGTAAATGACTGATCGTTTGATCAGTTTCTCGGTACTTGAGTAACTTTTTACCAAATATTTTTTTTTTACTCTTGAGTAATTTCTTTTGCAAAAATAATGAAGTACCGCATCGACGATCAGTAAAGCAGAGATGTACGCTATAGTTCATAATGTACATGTACAAGGGACCCCCAGTGTGTTTGGGTTATCTTTCTGTGAATAACAAAAATCTTCCAATACGTGAGATCCCTTCTAAAAACTTATATATTATTCAAACACTAAATACACTGAAAAAACACACAATCTTACCAAATATTTTTCTCTAGTTTTAGTGAAAATATCTTGGTACACTTGAGATAAAACAAAACTAACTTAAAAGTAACTCATCAGTAATATGTAGAGGTTTGTTTTAAGTAATTCCTTGATATTGATGAAAAAGTTCTAGTTTTTTTTGGAGATTATTTCACTTGTAGCATGGGGAAATTATCTTGTTCTAAGTAAATTTATCTGCTAAAGGAACCAGCATTTTTCACCAATATTAAGTAATTATTTACTTAAAACAAGCTCCCATATCTTGCTGACAATATATATTTTGTCTTATTTCAAGTGCAATAAGACATTTGCAGTAGAAACTACTCCAAAATACTTGGTAGTATTTGGTGTTTTTGCAGTGAATACCCTAATATGCATTATTACTCATCGTGGAAACTGTGTATTTTTCCTCGGCACTGTCAAAGACATAAAATGTAGAGTTATAGGTGGAGGATATTCATCTAATGTATTCCCTGAACTGCACCACTGCTTGAGTATTTAAAACTAAAGCTCATTTCCCATGTTTCTGTGAGAAGAAGCTGCATCAGCAGTAAGATGGTTTGCATGGCGGCCCCCTGCTTGCTCTTTAGAAATGGCACTCTTCCTCCTGTCACCAACTCTTCCTGCATTCGCTGCTCAGCTACACTATAGCAGAGTTTGAATTTTTTCCTTTTAAGCAAACTGGAAGAGCATTTTTTTCTTCCAAATCCAGGAAGTTTCTGCACCTGCTAACACTAAAGGACTGTCAGGCTGTGTCCATACTTGTACAAATGCTGCTTTACTTTTTCCACTAACGCAGCATTTTATACAACTTTTCGCCCAACCCTACACCCACACACACCAAAAATCTTTTGGAAAGCACAGTATAAAATTATGTTTTATTGGACAAGTGGAATAAGGTGCTGTTATGAATGAGCAATTAATCATCTCCACAACCAGCCCTCAGGTTCTGTCACCCTGCTGACATTCAGGCTTCAAACTTTCCTTTTTGATCACTTTCACAAACGAGTTGCTTGGCTTTTCCTGAATTTCCTCTGGTTCTCCTGCTACAGACTTGGTCTGCCAACTGATGTACAATAGCTTTGTTCTCATTACAAATGTGCGCTAATCTCAAAAAAGCAACATTTTCTGACTGGTTTTCCCAAAAAATAAGAAGCATACATGTGAATACCACTATCACTCCTACCACTTCCTGTTGTCGTCTTTGCCTGCTGGTTTTTTTTACTGCCGGTGAAAAGTGAAAGACGGTATGAATAAAAATCCATGTTTTTTTTTTTTTTTTTTTTTAAAGACCTATGGATGCACAATATTAGATTTTTGGTTGATATCTGATATGCTGATATATTAACTAATTTGGCCGATAACCGATACCAATACCGCTGTTTTTTTTCCCTATACCTCCTTACTGAAACTATATGGCTTTCTATACTGTGGAATTAAAA